TAGTGAATTTGCCTTGTGGAACTTTATGCTCATGTAACATGTAGCCTGCCATGGTTGTTTGTAGGGGTGGGCAGGATGAAGTAGATGACAAATCAACTATCATGGCCTTACAATACAAATTGTATACTTATATAGGTGTGATGGCATTGTAGAAACATGTGCAAGAGATGATGCTTTCATCACAACACATTGATGCTTTTTTTGTTATTCTGAGGTATGTGGGGAAAAAACAAAAAAAAGAGATCAGAGTACAAATCTAAGAAACAAATCAATGCTTCTTTACAGTTTAACTCAGCTGGGGCTACCAGATTTGGGTGGTGGAAATCAAAGGAATCACTAACTGCCATGCAAGAATTAGGAGCTGCTGCTTCTTCTTTTTTGCCATCCAGATTTTTACCTCCCCAGAGCTGGTAATTCTATATGAAATAGTAGAGAACCAGATTGGGGCAGTGATTAAGGCATTAAGCCAGAAACCTGGTGACATGGAGTTCTACTCCCTTCTTAGACACAAAGCCAATTGGATAACCTTGGGCCAGACACTTTCACTCACTCCTAAGAATGAGACAACAGCAAACACATAAAAAAAACTTTGCCAAGAAAACTGCAGTGACCAGATGTCAACACTGACTCAAAGACATAAAAGAACCCCCACCCTGAGATAGTAGTTGGAACTAGATATTAAAATGCGTACTTAAAAAAAAGACAGAGTACTTAATTGGCATGCTTATATCTCCTAATTTTATTTCTTGTTTATAGGAATCATATTCTATTATAGAGAGATGACAGTATCTCAAGAAGGAGAATTTCTGAGATGCTTTATACAGCACACATTATTATGGGGCGGAAAGTCTGTTTAACTATAGCCTTTTCCATGTTGATATGCTTGAATACCATTCCCATCATCACATTCCATTCTGCAATAATAAAAATTATATGGTTGCATTTAAAATGCCTACCTTTAAACCATGTTGAGAATAGCTATTTGGAGTACTTGTGTTGAATCTCAAACTTCTGTCTTTAAAGGAAAAAACTGGCACAGGAATCTTACAATAATACTAATTTAAGTTGCGCAAAAAATTATCATGAAATTGGCATGATGACAGCTTTGTAGCACTCTCTTGTTCAGTGTAGCCACAGTTTTCCTGAGCTGCAGTTAATGTAAATACTTAGCTAGAGTACATATTACTGACAGTGTTAATGAAATGTACAAACATTCTGAATTGTGTTTATGGTGGAACTCAGTAAGAGAGTTTGAGTTGGGCTAATTGAACAGCCTATTAATGTTAGAATAAACAATTTAGGTTATGTTGGATACCACTAAAGAAGCATCAATGAAGCAGATTATAGATCAGGAAAACATGTTGAGCATTATTTCTTGTTATGTTTTTCTGGGAAGCTGTTTTTGGAAGTGTTCCAAACAACGGAATATTTATTCCAATAAAAGTGGAATTGTATCACCATATAAAGCCAGTTATTATTCTCAAAAGCATTTTTTCAAATTCTCTTCACTAAAAATTTCATTTCATTTTATTTTTTTGGCAACCAAAATAGTTTGGGTGAACTAGATTCATGCTGAAGAAATGGATCATTTGAACAATGACTCATGCCCTTATTATAGGGCATTGCCTATTGCGGTGTGTTTTACTTGGGGCTGTCATGAAGACCACTTGGAAACTAAAGTTGGTCCAGTATTGGATCCATTCAGTTATTGGCCAGTGACACTGCTACAGTCACATTACAATGCTTTTGTAGATGTTGCACCAGTTTCTAGTACGTTTAACAGAATAACAGAGTTGGAAAGGACTTTGAGTTCCTGCTCAAGCAAGAAACCCTACCATTTCAGACAAATGGTTGTCCAATCTTTCTGTGGAGCACCCACAGCTTCTGGAAGCAAGTTATTCCACTGATGAATTATTCTAATTGTCAAGAATTTTTTCCTTAGTTCTAGGTTGATTCTCTCCTTGATTAGTTTCCATCCATTCCTTCTAGTCCTGCCTTCAGGTGATATGAAGAATAGGTCCCCCCCCTTTTCTTTGTGGCAGGCTATCATATCACTCCTAGTCCTTCTTTTCATTAAAAGATTTCATTGAAGTTTCTGATTGCAATTCAAAGTTCTGGTTAATCTGTGAAGTTCTGTATGGTTTGATTCCTGGATACTTAAGTAACTGTCTTTTTCAGGCAGTTCTTCTTTAACTGGCAATAAAGAATCTTATCTGGTATGATGTCAATAGAGGGAAAGCTTGGGGCTCCTTCCCTAATGATAAATCCTCTCAATTGTTTCTCCTTTAGCTGAGAAGTAATGGATTCAGAAACCAGCCATAGTAGAGTATCCAAAATGTCTGTCTGCCTTCGCAGAGTTTATTGCTTTTTATACAGTTTTTCACAAGCAGCAAAGAGTATATGGCAACAGCATCGTTATTGGTGTATTCTTCTTGTCAATCTCTAAAAACATCCTAGCCAGGGTAGAGTCTCACATATCTTGATGGTTCCTGGTACTGCCTGGTGGTGCTAATTAGGTGAGCTCATAGACATTTGAGGTAAACAGTTACTGAGGCGCAGCAGTGTGCTGCTCACAGCCTCTACGTAACCTTTATATAACCTCTATCTCTACAGTGAAGGGGTCCCCCTGCCCCAAAGGGTAGACACTATTTTAAGAGGATGGAAAAAACAATTATGTTCTGTCAAGTATTTGTCAAGTAATGGGATGATCAGGATTTGGGCTGTGGATTAGTTGCATTGTTTGTAGAGATTTTATAATGTTTACCATGGCTTTTATTGATGGTGGTTATTCTGTTGGTCATTTTTGAGAACTATACAGAATCTAACAATGGAATAGAAATTTCTAAAATAAATAAGTAAGCTAACTAAAATTAGGGCTGTTGAAAGATGCTTTACAAAACCTGTGAGAGGAAATAAAAACCTCTCTTCGAATAATTAAATATCATTCGGCTCCTGGATAGTTTAGCAACGGTCTTCTTCAGGCAGTTCTTCATGACTTGGCAATAAAGAATTTATCAGGTATGATGTCTGTGGGAGGGCAAGCTCATCTAAAGCTCATATAACTGTTCCTGAATGCAAGCATGTCTGTGCCTGGTAATCTCACTTCATTGTCCGCTCTTAATACACACATGTGCAAATAATTGGAAGAAGTTTTGGAAGCAGCTGTATGAAGTTCCCAAAGGATGCGGCTCCTTTAATCATTTAAGAGAAGTGCTGTGTTTAGAAAAGAGCTGAGGTGGCGCAGTGGTTAAATGCAGCACTGCAGGCTACTTCAGCTGACTGCAGTTCTGCAGTTCGGCTGTTCAAATCTCACCGGCTC